GAGAGAGAGAGAGAGAGAGAGAGAGAGAGAGAGAGAGAGAGAGAGAGAGTAAAGTAGAGTAGATTGAGACCTTGGGGTTAAAAACTCCTTAGAATTTACAGTAAATCAATAGAGGGTGGCGAATTACATAGAGTAATGTTAGAGAAAAAGAGAGAGAGAAGGAGAGACTCCCTTCAGGAGTAGTTTTAGTTCAGATTTCCCGTTTATTCTAGATTTCTAAGGTTTTCGGGTATACCGCGTGTGACACCCTGTGTAACGATCTATTAAAGCTCGATCCTTCCAGATATGCGAGTATCGAGCGTGTATATTACGTCGATATTCGCGCGAGCACTTTTGTGTCCTTCGATATTGCGACAATGATTCAGCGCCTTTCCACACTGTCATAAATAGCGTGCACTTTTATCGTCACATAGTTATCAACGTGCTGCCCATTCCTCGGAGCGCTTCTTGAAATCAACTTCCACCTTTCGCACGGCATGGTCTAATCGATACTTCTTGCGCATAGCTCATCGGATTCGACGCGTTTTCAACGACGTGGGACGTTTCGACTGTGCAATCGTAGTTGTTAGTGCAACATTGTCTTTCATTCGATGCAAGAGCCGAGTGTTAACCCAATTGCAGATAGTTCTCATGGAATCACGTTTCGAAGTGTGAAAACTCGCCGAGTCGTACGAGTCAAATGTCAGAAAGTTAAATGTAAAATTAAATATTAAATGTTAAGTGAATGTTGAATTCGAGCTCTATCCCGGTCGCTCTTCACAGAAGATGTCAGGTATCGTTTGTAATGGAGCTCTTTTTCATCGAGCGGTTGAAAGAGCCCCGACATTTCAGAATTGATCGATCGTACTCACTTGACGGTCAGCTGACGTTGGATCAGCAATTTCTTCTCGATCTGCTCGATCGGGAATTGTGGCACTTCATACGGCGCCGAGATCTCGTTCGGCAGCTCATGAGGTGCGTGTCTCATCGAGCTACCACCTGTACCGGTTCCACCGCCCTCGATACCGAAGACTGGACTCTCACTACCTGCAACGAGAAGTGAATTCAGTCCGAATCGAAATCCTTGTTTCGCCGAAGAGCGCATCAGGGAGCTTGCGCGACCAATTAGTTGCTTTTTTAATTTATTATCGCATTTAATTGATGATTAATATGAACTAATTCAATCCGTTTAATTGACATGAACGAAGAGAACCAAGGATCGCTGACCCAACAATTAAGCGTAGCAAATTTAGTTAGAGGTCGTTATCTGGCGATTGAATAAATTTAATTCAGTCAAATCAATTCAATACATTCAATGGAAAACCGTTCGGTCGATTTTGCTCGAATCAATCAGTTGAAGTGAAACATACTTGTTCCAATTAATTATTAAATTGAGGAGAAATTTGATATTTTTGTAACCCTGGTTCGTACAGACTGCTTCTACTGTAGCAACAAATAAAAGAAAATCTAACGACAGTGCGAAAAACGCGTGCCGCAACACCTGCCGCAACATCTGCCATGTTGTAGCCACGGTAGTTTACAAGGACACGATGAGAGAAGATTCGCGGGAATGTCTCTTTATATAATTTAAAAACAAATATAAAAATATATTACGGACGTCGCGTCGGTGAGGAAAAGGCAGGAAGAGAACACGTTCCTCACGATCGCAGGGGAAATTTACCATTTTCTGTGGCTTGTCCGGTTCTCTGCAGCCACTCGGTAACGGAATTGCGCTTGTACTGGTCGAGAAATACGTTCTCGCTATCCAACACCATCGTAGTATACGATATTATAGCGCGTCACGTCCCTGCAAGTATTTTCCACTTTTAACTCGAGCGTTTGCCGCAACGTCGTCCGAAAGGCTCGAAATGATCGATCGCCGACTCGCTCGAAACCCACGCGCGAATGTTAAGATAATTAGCCTTTTAAGTGGGTCGTCGCGAGGTTGAGAGAACGCGTAGCCGTGTGCGTACGCTGTCGTACACTAATGAGAGTGTGTCGCTACGTAATACAGTAAGAAAGGTGTGGAATTGGATCATTTGGCACGATATTATCTTCCGACTGATGCAACAGCTGTCGAGAGCGACGAACAAGAGCTAAACTCAGTCAGACGTGTGGATTAGTTTCGACAGAATGTTTTTCTATCGAGAATGAGCTAGAGTTCTGAGACAGTTTAGATACACAGGTAGGTGTCTGTCATACTCAGAATTTACTTAGTGTTTATCGGGCTAGACATTTAAAATATTTATTCGGATGTGAGTCTAAGACACAAGTAAATATCATTGTACACGGAAAAATGTTCAATTAATCTAAATTCAGGGTACATTAACTAGACTGTTCGGTGAGAATGAATTATAATTTTGGCTATGATGATCAAACAAGATTTGATTGTACGTATTCTGGTTAAATATTTCTGTTACCGCGACCAAAAGTATTCGTTCGGAACACTTAGCTGTTTGAAAACTCGATTGGTATAACTGAAAACAATTGACCGAATAGAAATCTACCGCAGGAGTCTTTCCGTTCCCGCAGTCGAGTTTCCGTCTGGTCCCCATTCTTCCCAGGTAACGGAAAGCTTAGTCACACTAATGGAGTTGTTTTCTTCCGCATAAGAACGAGACATTCAGTAAGAAAAAAGCTACATTCTACAAAACTCTGAGAAAAAATTCGTCGACTGAACGTCATTTCGAAGTACATAGAAGAAGAAATGTGTCAATCTTTGTGTCCAATATATGGCACAATTAAAAATGCGAACCTATCGACTGGTGATCGTTCATCCACGTTAATTGCGAATGGCAGGTGTAATCAGCAGTCGACTGTCACATTATAGTTAATCACGAATCGCGAGTACAATGCGAACAATTTTTTTATAATTGTTTATTATTCTTCCCCGCTGCGCGCGCGTCTGACCGCCGTTCGGATGTTATTTCATCGTTCTAATTCTAGAGACTCATCGTCGACCTACACGTCGCAATACGCATCGTCCCACGATATGATCAATGAACCAACGAGCTCGTCGTGACCCCCGACCGACGACAAATTTACAAAAGCCCGTGGTCGAGATATTAATAGTACGCGACGCACCACTACTATTGTTTTTATTCGTCAGCATCAACTGCGATCTCTCTCTCTCTCTCTCTCTCTCTCTCTCTCTCTCTCTCTCTCTCTCTCT